GACATATCCATTGCTCAAAATAAATACTTCTGATAAAATTTTAAAGGAAATTCTTAATTTTTGTTCTACTAAGTAAACGTTTATTATGGAATGATTCTGCTCCTGATCTAAATGGGATTTTACTATTTATCTATTATCACTCACCAAAAAAGAAAAAGAACAAAAAAAGCAGTAACGTTCTTTTATCTAGTAGAAAGAAAATCCCATACACAAACATGTTGGGTTTTCATATTTATCTTATGAAAATAACAACTGCGGGAGGCAGGCCGTTAGCCTAGAGTGAAGACACCAGCTGAGACACTCCAATCCGCACTGGAATGCCTGGTTCAATGCCCTGCTCCAGCTCCTGACTCCAGATTCCTGCTAATGCAGATCCTAGATGGCAACAGTATCGCCACCCATTTGAGACCTACACTGGATGCCCAGCCCAGCTCCCACCATTGCAGGCGTTTGGGGAATGGACCAGCATGAGGTGGCTCTTTCTCTCTGCCTCTCAAATAATTTTAAATTTATTTCATCTAACAAAATATTAACACAACTCATTATTTCAAATCTTTCTATGTGGGGCCAGCATTGTGGTGTAGCATGTGAAGCTGCCGCCTGCAACACCACTTCCAATCCAACTCCCAGCTAATGGCCTGGGAAAAGCAGCAGAAGATGGCACACGTGCTGGCGTCCCTGCCATTCATGTGGGAGACCCAGATGAAGCTCCTAGGTCCTGGCTTCCACCTGGCTCAGCCTGAGCCGTTGTGGCCTTCTGGGGAGTGAACCAGCAGATGGGAAGATCTCTGTCTCTGTGTGCGTCTCTAACTCTGAGTTTCAAATATTTTTTTCAAATCCTTCTATCTGTAATTCCAAGTTAATCAAAGGAATGGAGAAAACTATGCCATCCTCAGAGAGTTTGTAGAGTCCAAGTTAACCAAAAAAAAATACATATTTAATTCCTGGACATTTTCTAATAGACCAGCACAGGTCTAAACACATGTCTCAAGAAAGTCTTTACCATTCACTAAATTATTTTTACAAGCAAGAAGAAAATCAATCTGATAAATATGAACAAATTATAGTCATTCTTTTTTGTTATTATATTTTAGGGCAAAAATTGACTTCCTTAGTTTTAAATAATAAAACTAAATTTTTATTAATAATTTTTTTAAAGGTGGAGAAAGGAATGGGTGTGGCAGGGGTGTGAAGAGAGAAACCTCCATCTGCTGATTCACTCTCCAAATGCCCACAACAACCAGGGTTCAGGGCTGGGCCAGGCCACAGCCGGGAGACCCAGATTTCAGTCCGGGTCTCCCAAGTGAGTGGCAGAGACCCAAGTACTTGAGTTACTACCTGCTGCTACCCAGGGTGTATGTAACAGGAAGCTAAAATTGGGAATGTTGAGCCAGGACTCAAATCCAGGCACTCAGATATGGGATGTGGATGTCCCAAGAAGCACCTGAACCACTGCCCATCCCTAAGGAGGATTTTCCAAATTTCTAATTTTTAGTGTACTAGTGAGCTGGAAACAACCATTCAGAATCCTGCTGTATCTGTAGACTTTATGTGCACTCAGGCAGGCATCAGAAGATCACTCCTACTGCCAATGACATTTCTGAAGAGTACCTTACCAAGAAACAACTTAGAATTCAACTGTTCTCAAGAACAATGCAATCATTTTCCTTCCTTCAATAAATTTTCACAATAAATGTAAGCCACATTTATTCTTTACCTTTTTTAATATTCCTAGGCATAAAGTTAGTTTATAAGAACATTGAGCAAAAATACTTATTACACATGATCAACTTTTTTTTTTTTTTTTTGCTTTATAGGCAAAAATTACATTTCCACGCAATGAAATAAGTGTTGGGTTAGATATCTCAAGTTAGTTATTAAGACTGACACTTTAAGCCGGCGCCGCGGCTCACTAGGCTAATCCTTCACCTTGCGACACCGGCACACCAGGTTCTAGTCCCAGTTGGGGCGCCGGATTCTGTCCTGGTTGCCCCTCTTCCAGGCCAGCTCTCTGCTATGGCCTGGGAGTGTAGTAGAGGATGGCCCAAGTCCTTAGGCCCTGTACCCTATGGGAGACCAGGAGAAGCACCTGGCTCCTGCCTTCGGATCAGCGTGGTGCGCCGGCCACGGCAGCCATTGGAGGGTGAACCAACGGCAAAGGAAGACCTTTCTCTCTCTCTCTCTCTCTCTCTCTCTCTCTCTCTCGCTGTCCACTCTGCCTGTCAAAAAAAAAAAAAAAAAAAAAGACTGACACTTTAACAAGGCCAAATTGACAATCTGATAACTGATCCTGCCAATTAATTTTCATCTATTGCAGGGTGTCACAGGCAGCATTAAAAAAAAAAAAAAACCACCCTGCTGGTGAGTTCTCTGGTGACAAAGACAAGCGGCCAAATGTACAGCTGCATCAGCACAAATCCACGATCACTCTGTTGTATCTATCAACTTTACTACAAGCAAATCATGTGAGAGCTATCATCCTGGGAGAGTGCACCAATAATATACCCACCACATCCTAAAATAGCTGGTAACCTAAGAAGTCAAGTAATAACATCTGCTTCAGACACTAAATTGAAGAAATAAGATACCCCGCAATTCAAATCCATTCCTATTAAATCAATATTTAAACTTTAATTTTTAAAATTCTACCACACTAAATTCTGCATTCAGTGTAGCAGGAACATTTTTCTCTTTGCACCTGAAGAAATGTGTAAAATACAAAAATGACAACTGCTGATACCTCCAACCTCTCAGCTCTATGAGAGGTATTCATCCATGCACCTTCATCTAACTGTAACCTAAGAGAACCATACCTTCAAATGACAATAAAAATAATCTTCCAAAGGAGACTGCCTATTACTTACTGGTAACACCTGCAACCTAATCACTTTCCATTCTCAATTTCTCTTCTGACCTACAAATCTTTCCCATTATACACTGCGCACTGCAATGTATCTGGCACTTCAATCATCTAGGTTTTGCCTCTCCTGTAGATTACAGATCCCTGGGGATGGCATAGCTTCCTCCAGTCCTTCTTCCCGCCTGCAATTCACTGCGAAGTATAAATTAACCACAGCTGAACCTCAGTAACCTCAGGAGATTGGTTCCAGAACCTCCACAGATACCAAAATCCAAGGATGCTCCAGTCTCTTATGTAACATGGCTTAGTGCTTGCTTATAACCTACTGCACTTCCTCTAGTACACCTTAGATCATCAAGACTGTCCATAATACCTAACCCAATGAAAATGCTGTGTAAAGAGCCGTCCTACTGTATTTCTTAGAGAATAAAGACGAGAAAAGTCTGTACATGTTCAGTACAGACCCAATTTTTTTTTCAGAATATTTTCAATTCTTGGTTGAATCCATGGATGTGGAACCCCCTAGCTGGCAGGGTCAAGTGCACATGACACTGATCTGTTCGCAGAGAAGCCTCTCCTACTAACTGAACTAGGAATCTGTGTAGACACTAGGCACCTACCATTAACCCTTGACACGGTTCTGGGCCACTGAAGACTTTCGAATACATTTAGCAAAACAAAAATAAAAACAAACCTCAGCAACTGAACCTTTCAATCTCTCCTCCACTCAGTATCAGCAAGGAAGCCTGCAAACATTGACATCTGTATTTTTTTTTTTGCATCAATCTTTGACCCAAGACATTATTTTTCTACAAGCCAGACTTTCAACGGCCTCTTTGGAGAAGATTTAGATTATATCTAGCTCTCTGTCCAAAACAAATGTTCCCTACAAGACAATTCAGAGTTCAGGATGTCTAACCAGGTAACATCAACCTTGATTAGCCATGTGGTCCTAACAACATTTATGAACTAACAAATCTTGCCATTATTTTTTTAAATTTCCACTGAGATGTAAGAATGCTTTCCAATAACCGATATTAAGAAAGATGCCTGGAGAGGTGGGGGTGGGAGCAAAGAGAAAAAAAAAAATCGTGAAGAAACAGCCTAACAGACTGTTTCCACCTTTACCCCGAGAGAATTAAAATGGGGAAGGGGGGGGAAATGGAGGCAGAACCTGTGATTCAGATAAGCCATAAAGAAATTAAGGTGCTGGATTTGCAAGCTGTGCGTTTTAACCCGCTACCCTTTCAAGACATTTTTTTTTAAGGGACTGCTTTAACGCACCGAATCTCTCGCCTCATCCAAGAGCAGCTGGATCTCATCTCCCCAACAGCCCCCGCCTCCCCCACACACGCACACGCACGCACGCACACCGCTGCCACTATGAGTCCCTGTGCCAAAGCAACCATCACGGGGGGAAAAAATCAAGCCGTGAGGTTCCTTTTCCTAATCCTCTCTGAAAAAAGTCACAGTTCTTTTTCCCACAGAAAATTACCTATGCTAACGGGACGGGGGAAGGGAGGGGTGGAACCGGGTCATTAGCATGAAGCCCATTCCCCCCAGGGAGAAAATGGCATGAACTTCCACAGGAGACAACTGCTCTTCCCCTGTGGCCCTTTAGAACCTAAAAATCTTTCCTAAAAAGGGTTTTTGAGGCTCTTCACTTTGCAGCCACACAGCTCCTTCAACATGTCCCAGAATGCGGGGGGTGGGGGGAGCCGATCAATCCCGCCATAGGAGGGAGCAGGATTCCGTTAAATAGAAAATGCCACTCTCCGCCTCCTCCGCCATCCCGAACCCTGACTGGCAAGGAGCGCGGGGGCGGCCGCGGGCGGCAGCGGCGAAGAGGCGGGACGCGACCGACACACGCACCGCACCGAGCACTGGCTCGCGGCTTTTAGGAAGGCTTTAAAAATGCCATTTCCTCCAGCCGGAGGATCCTCGCCGTGCACCAGCCCGAGCCCGGGCCCCGTTCCCCCCACGCCGCCCGCAGCGAGGACTCGGCCGGGCAGTGTCCTCAGCGCGGCCTCGGCGCCGGGCGCCCTGCGCCCCGAGGCGCGCGCTCCCCAGCTCGGGAGTTCCCCGGGCGCCGCTCGCCCACCCGAGACCCGAGGCGCCCGCGCCGGGGAATGCGTCGCACCTGGATGTAGTTGTTCTCGCAGTAATCAGCCACCCGCTCCAGATTGGTGTAACTGTCGAAAAGGGCCCGGCGGCCCCCCGGGATTTCCTCTTCCAGCAGCATCTGCAGCTCCGCCATCTTCACATCCTCCGCCTCCTCCTCCTCATACAGTCCGCAGAGGTAGCGGCGGCGGCGGCGGCGGCGGCGGCAGCGCCAGGGAAACCCAAGACTGGGAGAGGAGGAGCAGCGGCGACCGCGGCTGCAACTCGGGAGGAGCGAGCAACACCCCCAGCGCGCGACAGGGGAGGGGGCGGCGGGGACGGGGGCGGGGCGCGAGCCGACGGACTGCGAGGCCGGTCACCGCGGCGACGGCCGGCCGAGCACGCGCACGCGCGCTCCCCGGCCTCCACCCCGGAGCGCCCGAAAAAGATTCCCACCCGCGCCCGCGCCGCCCGCCCCTCCCCCACTTCCGGCGTCTCCTAGCGACGGCCGGGGCGGGGGCCAGGATGCGCGCGGGAGTCCGGTGCGGTTAACCCTTCGGCCCTCTGTGCGCGCCGGGCGCTCGGGGAGTGCCCCGCGCGGCCTTTGTTAACCGGGCGGGAGCGCGCTGCTCGGCGCCCTCCGCCGGCGCCCGCTGCGGCTCCCCTCCGCGCTGTCCTTCGCTGGCCCCGAACCTCCGCGGGAGGCCCTCGGCCTGCTCCTGACCGCCGCAGGCCGGAGGCGATGACAGCCCCGGGCCGTTGGCTGTGAAAGATCACACCTCTTCAGCTCGGGCGTAAAGTTCTCGAAACTTGGCCCCTGAGTTCGTTTTCCTCTTTATCTTGACCTCATCCTCTGGGTTTGAGCGTCCACTGCGGTGACCGCATCCCCTCATTCCTGCGCCGCCGCCGGGCGCGCTTACCTGCCCACCCCACCAAGCCCGTGGACCCCGCTGGGTTCGCCCACGTTCCGTTCGCCCCAGTGCTATTCCGTGGATAAAATGATGTGAAAACACCTTGTAAATGTTAACCACTAGTAAAAAATGCAAGGCAGATCATTTGGATCTTGCAGATTTGTAATTCTGTTCTTACTCTGCGGATCCTGTATCTTCTTTCCTAAATCTGACCACCCTATACAGTGTAGTCTCGAAAAACTAAATCCCCTGACAACTTCTGAGGTAGTGAGCCATGAGCTTTAGTTTATTTCTAGGGCAGAAAGTCAAGGTTGACTCCAGGGAATACCATCTTAGATTAGAACAGGTCTATGGCTTCAACACTTGTTCTTGCCCTCGCAAATGTATCCTGTTTTCAGATGATAAGAAAAACTATTAGACCATCTCAAAAAGTAATTTAAATACACATTGCAAGTTTCTGGAGCAGACCTTAATGTTACTGGCTTTATGATACGTACCTTAGCAAAATCTATGATTGCCACTGAAAATGTTGGCCTAGTACTACTGGTTTTATTCTCAACCACTTTAAACATTCCCTGTATTAGTGGCTCTCAAGAGTGAGAAGCTTATTAAAAATAAAAACTGCAGGGTCATATCCTAGAGGCTCATTAGACAGCAGGAATGATAGAATTGGGGTACTTAAATGCCACATCAGCCTGCTTCAAGGAATAAGACATCAATAACCAAGTGACTAAAACATTACCTCAAACTTTTCTTTCAGACTCAACTTCAATGGATAAAAACCTCAAGTTTAAGAAGCCCACCAGGTGAGTTAAAGGGTGGACAGAATCTTCTCCCAGCCCCCACTTGGTTCCCACCAGCATCCTTTCACATACTGCTTAGCAGTTGGCCCAATAAACGCATTTCACTGGGAGATGATTCATCATCCTGGTAATTACGAAGGGAGGAGTCTAGCACTTTTATTTGTAACAACCTCTGTGACCTTCTTTAATATAAAAGATGAAGGGTTAAGCTCAGGACAGCGTTCTCATTGTGGGTTGGAATCACCTGCAGAGCTTACTAAAACAAACTGCTGGGCCCACCCTGGGAGTGCCTGATTCAGTTGGTCTGGCCCAGCTTCTGTTTCTAACAAGTTCACAGGTGACGCCCATGAGACGCCCTTCTGCCCATGAGGAGCTGTGAAGCCGAAGTCTGGGGGCTGGAAATCTCAACTCAGAGTGGCTTTTACCACTAAGCAGATCCAGACATTCGTGGACACTTTCACTGCCACCAAAATTGATTTAAAAAAAAAAAAAGGAAACAACTACAAAAGCTCTAAAAGGGGACATAATTCTTTGAATCAAAGATGCAAGTGAGTAACTCATGCAAATCCTCCAGCAGTTACCCGTACTTGTGTAACTAGATGAAGGTACCTGAAATCTGCTCATTTGGACAACTTTTCAGCTGAACTGTCATACTAACATACAGTTAGGACCTCAGAAAATGACCATGATGATGGCAGTGCACACTTCAGGTGAACTTCTCCATACAGACACACATAAATAAGCACACTTGGGACGAGAGTTGGAGCACAGCAGTTGACCCACTGCTTGTGACAAATGTTCATATCAAAGCACTGATCTGAACCCTGACTGCTTCACTTCCAGTGCAGCTCCCTGCTAATGCACCTGGGAAAGCAGTGGAAAATGGTCCAAGTGCTGGGTTCCTGCTGTCCATAGGGAGACCAGGATGGAGTTCCTGGCTTCTGCCTGGCCCAGACCTGCTCATAGCTACAATCTGGGCAGTAAATCAGTGGGTAGAAGATCTCTGTCTCTCCCTCTCTACCACTCTGCCTTTCAAAAAAAAAAAAAAAAATCAATCTAAAAGTAAACAAATTCAGCCGGCGCTGCAGCCCAATAGGTTAATCCTCTGCCTACAGCGTTGGCACCCCGGGTTCCAGTCCCGGTTGGGGCGCCAGATTCTGTCCCGGTTGCTCCTCTTACTGTCCAGCTCTCTGCTGTGGCCCGGGAAGGCAGTGGAGGATGGCCCAAGTACTTGGCCCTGCACCCATGGGAGACCAGGAGAAGCTCCTGGCTTCGGATCAGCGTGGTGCGCCAGCCGCAGCAGCCACTGGGGGGGGTGAACCAATGGAAAAGGAAGACCTTTCTCTCTGTCTCTCACTGTCCACTCTGCCTTCAAAAAAAAAAAAAAAAAAAGTAAACAAACTCATTACCTTTGAGTCAAGCCACATTTCAAGGCCTCTAGTATAAGAATTTTTTAAAAAGACTATTTATTTGAGAGGTGGCGTTACAGAGAGAAACAGAAAGGTCTCTGCTGGTTCACTCCCTAAATGACCGCAATGATCGGAGGTCCGGCTGATCCGGAGCTAGGAGCCAGGGTGCAAGGCCCCAAGCACTTGGGCCATCTGCTGCTGCTCTCCTAGGCCACAGCAGAGAACTGGATCAGAAAAGCAGCAGCTGGGACATAAACCAGCCCCTACATGGGATGCTGGTGCCGCAGGCAGAGGCTTAGCTTACTATGCCACAGCACTGGCCCCCAAGAAGTGTTTTTTTTAATTTTTATTTATTTGGGTGAGCTTTTGGCAACAGCATATCAGAGTGCCTGAATTCAAATCCCAGCTTTGCATCCAATCCAGTTTCCTGCTGATATACACCCTGGAAAACGGGTGATGGCTCAAGTACCCAGATCCTTGCCACCCATGTGTAGACCCAGATTGATTTCTGGGCTCCTGGTTTCAGCCTGGCCCAGCTCTGGCTGTTTCAAGTTTTTAGGAAGTGAACCAGTCCATGGAAGATCTCCTTGTCTCTCTCTCTCTTTTTTTTTCGAAAGGCAGAGTTACAGAGAGGAAAAGCAGAGCAGCTAGCACTCAAACTGGCCCATACGGGATGCTGTGCTGGCACTGCAGGCGGTAGTTGTACCTGCTGTGCCACAGTGTCGGCCCATGTCTCTGACATTCCAATAAAGGAAAAATAAATAGAATTTTTTAAAATATGTATTTATTTGAAAGGCAGAGAGATAAGATAAAGAACTCCCATTCTCTAGTTCATTCTCCAAATGCCAGCAATGGCCAGGGCTGGACTGACACCAAAGCCAGGAGTCTGGAGGTTAATCCAGGTCTCCCACATGAGTGATAGAAAACCAATTACTTGAGTCATCACTACTATCTCCCAAAGTCTGCATTACCAGGAAGCTGGAGTCGGGAGCCAGAGCTGGGTATTGAATCCACTTAGATATGGGACTAACTGCTAGGACAAACACCAGAAGATTGTTAATTGTACCTCATATGTCTAATTGTATCTAATATGTCCACTTATGGGTTTGTGAGGATATATAATCCAAATTTGTTCCAGTGTTTTAAAATTATTAGCTCCTTCTAATCCATTTAAGATTAAGCATCTTACCTTTAAATTCATTACTTTTGTATGTGATTAAATAGTTCCTGCTTTTCTCATATAACTGGTTAAGTAATCATTTTTCATAAGTCACAAAGCCATCTCCAATATAAGAACAAGATGCTGTTCACTTCAGTTTCAAAACAGGTCAGGGGCCAGTGTTATGGTTGCAGCTGGTTGAACCACATCTTGCCACACTGGCATCTCATCTCATAGTGCTGGCCGAATACCAGCTGCCCCACTTCAGATCTAGCTCCCTGCTAATGCTCCTGGTAATTCAATGGAAGATGGCCCAAGTACTTGGGCCTCTGCCATCCACATGAGAGAGCTGGATAGAGTTCTTGGTGTCTGTCTTTGGCCTGGTCCAGCCCTAGATGTTGCAAGCATTTAGGGATGAACTAGTACATAGAAGATCTGTTTCTCTTTCAAATAAATAAATTTTAACTAAGATAAAATAAAATTTAAAAATGTTTAAAAGCTAGAAACAAAGAATATCCAGGACATTTCTGAAAAAGAATAATCAAGGAGAAAACTTGTTCTAAATAATAAAAGTGCATAAAGTAAAATTAATGGTTATCAAGGGAACAGAATAAAAAGTCTATCAATTCTAATAAATGTAAGAATTAAATGATTGAGGTAAAATTTCAAATCAAAGAGAAACAGTGCTAGAATGACTGCATAACAGTTGGAAAAAAATAAGTTAGATGATACAAAAATAAATACTACATAAATTGAAGATTTAAAGTCTAAAAGAAAATATATGTAAATAGGAAACACTGGAATGGAGATGGCCTTTTTAGATTCTATTGGGGAAAGTGGTAAATAAAAATTTTAAATTACTATATAAAGATAGCACAAATAGTTGAGAACACAATCAGCAAAAAGTCTGATGTTTAAATGGTTAATTTTTTAAAAAATATTTATTTGAAAGGCAGATCTATAGAGAGGGAGAAACAGGGAGAGAGAGAGAGAGAGAGAGATCTTTCATCTGCTGGTTCACACCACTAATAGTCTCAGTGGCCAGGGCTGGGTCAGGCCAAAGACAGGAGTCCAGAACTCAATACAGGTCTCCACACTGTTGGCAGAAGCCATTTCCTGCTGCCTTTTCCAGGTGCATTAACAGGTAGCTGGATCGGAAGAGGAGTAGCTGGGATTTGCAACGGTGCTCACAGGGGATGGCTTAACCCACTATGCCACAATGCTGACCCCTAATACAGTTAATACAAACAGAATATATTAGTGGAACTTAGAAATCAAATGTGCAATAGAGAAATGGACATGAATAGGCAAATTTATAAAATAAATACAAATAGGTTGATAAACGTGATAAAAATGTTCAATAACACCAATAATCAGTGGCATTACTGACCTATCAGATTCACAGAGTACAAAGAATGACAATACCAATCATACATAGTACTTATGATTATAATGTGGCATTGTCTTTCACAATGGTAACTGACAAATATATCCAGTGTTTAAAGTAATTTTATGTGGCCCCTTGGAAAGAAAGGAGCAGGGCAGAAAAAAAAATGTGATGTTTTGAAATGGTGGAGAACACTGACTTTAACTGCACCTAAAATATACCAGTAGAGCTTCTTCCTTCCTCCTCCACGGGAATTAACAATGTGTTTCTCACGGTTTTCTGTCAACTACTTCTATTATCTAAATGTCTACCCCTAAGAATAAGTGAGTGATTCATATCACTGAACTATTTCGTAGGGTCTTATGCTGTTTCAGGAAAAGATTCCATTTTACTTTTCAGAAGAAAAATCTTGTCCAATTAATAAGTAAGAATTTCACAGGTGAAATGGGACTGAAATCTATAGTGTACCTGAATGTTTTGCAACTTTAATAAATATGCATATCAGAAGATCATTTTCCTTTTTTAGAAAAAGCTGGGTGTCTTTTCATTGTGCATTGTGTAAAGAATTCTAAGCCATTCTGGAAAGGTTTAAATTACTTAAAGACAAATCGGGCCGGCGCCGTGGCTCAATAGGCTAATCCTCCACCTTGCGGCGCCGGCACACCGGGTTCTAGTCCCGGTCGGGGCGCCGGATTCTGTCCCGGTTGCCCCTCTTCCAGGCCAGCTCTCTGCTATGGCCAGGGAGTGCAGTGGAGGATGGCCCAGGTGCTTGGGCCCTGCACCCCATGGGAGACCAGGAAAAGCACCTGGATCCTGGCTCCTGCCATCGGATCAGCACGGTGCGCCGGCTGCAGCGGCGGCCATTGGAGGGTGAACCAACGGCAAAGGAAGACCTTTCTCTCTCTGTCTCTCTCTCTCACTGTCCACTCTGCCTGTCAAAAAAAAAAAAAAAAATTACTTAAAGACAAATCATAAGTGAGACATATATGGATATTTGCAAGAACAACTAGCATAAAACATGTAAGTAGAGCCATCAAAAACCACTGAG